AAAGATGAAGTAAAATTTAAAGTTTGCGGAAGTTTTTTTCTTCTTCATAGCTAAATTTTGAATAATGTGTCATATCATTTTTCAAATTTTAAAGAAAAAAAATTATTCATCATTTATATGTTTAATTATGCATACACAATAAGCTTATATTATTATTTGTCATCTTTGTCATCCGTCTCTTTTTTTTTGACATTTTATGATAGCTTACTAATACATTATTCCATTTTCTTTTCCTCTTTTATCATTCATAATTTTTAGTAAAATTTAACAAATATTTCTTTTTTCCCAATTTCTCTTTTCCAAAAAAAAAAAAAGAAAAAGCTTTTCATTCAAATATAAAAATAATTCCTTTCTTCTCTTTCTTTTCTTTTTTTCCTTCATAAAAAGATGGTAAATTGATAAATTTTTTGAATATTTCATTTGATTGATATAATTTTCCTCCTCCTCTTTTTTTCTCTTCCTCTCTTTTTACATGGCGTGTTATATTTGTTAAAAGAAATTAGTTAAAAACAAAAATCCATTAGCTTAGTTGAAATAATGGCTTCACAACAATGGATATTAGTTGGAAGTAAGCAACGTCAACGGCGACAGATACGAATGCGCACAAACGCTGCCGGACGTTTGAAACAAGAACGTATCCGTAAATTACGTGTGCAACGTTTGCTAAAAGAATCATCATCATCATCAGCTGCAGCAGCAGCAGCTGCTTCTGCTGCAGCTGCAGCTGCAGGCATGTAAATTTGGCTAATAATCATCGTTGATCAAGTTATTCCTTCCGTAAATTTTGTTTATTTTCTTGTTTTGTTTTGTTTTTTTTTCTTTTTTTTTTGCATCAGAAATTTGATTCTTATTTGAAATGGAAAGGAAAAAGGAAGAAATGAAAAAAATTTTTTAAATAAATTCAATAAAAGCCTTTTTTTTACGAATTTTTAATTTTTTAATTAAATAAGTGTAAAAGTCATGCAAAAAAAATTTTCTCATTTTATCGATTTCTTCTTTTTTTTTTTTAAAAAAAGAAAAACACATTGAAAATATGGGAAATTTTTGATATTTTAGTCCATTTGGACCGATCGGATACATTGAAAACGAAATCGATAGCATTTATGCAAAAAAATTCCAACTATTCGGCACGCGAAAAGAAAATTAATGATGATGAAGAGGAAGAAAATATGAGTGTATCAAATGCTGATTATTTTGATGCTATTATTCATGCAATTATTCCAGGTCCCCTGGATATTCCAGCACTTTATCGTACTTATGCAATTTTACCATCAATTGATAATACAAGCAAAAATGATACATCCTTATCTAGTACAACAATTAACTATTCATCCATTTTTATCAATAAAAATACCAATACTAATAATAATAACAATAATAATACTAATACTAATACTAATGATATTACAATTACTACAACTACAAGTACAGTAAGAATTGTTGAAATTACTGAAATTCCTTCGGTTAATGTTAAATATACTACAATAAATTGTACGCGATATAGTGGTATTCATTGGAATACAACAACAACAACAACAGCAATTAATTGTAATTCTGATAATGGTAAGCAATTTTCTTACCTTTCGTTACCTTTTCATTTCATTAATTAACTCTTTAATTCTTCAAATAGTAATATTCAATATATTTATTATTATTATTATTATTATTTTGCATGCTTTTAGTTTCATTTGATATAATCATTAACTATTAACTATTCATTAAGTAAGGTACTGCGATTAAAATTACACTAATTGTTAATTAATCGGATATCTTTGTGATTAATTGGTGAAAGTTTTTATTTTCATGTTTTTTTTTTTTTTAAATTAGCCAAATTAGCCATATCATATATTTTTAAATCAGCTATATTATATTTGATGATTAGATTGACCTTTTTTAGTCAAATATGTATACAGCACAATATCTCTTTTATAGCTTTTTTTTTTTTTTTTAAATCAACTTTTTAACAATTGCAATTATTTCAATCAATCATTCATAATTTAAAAATAAAGATGCAAAGTGAATCGTTTCTCGAAATTTAGCTTCCCAATATTCAAAAATTAATTTGCAAACATTTATTTATAGATATATTTTAAGAATTAACTCTTTTATCGCTCCTTTTCTCTTTCAATTTCTTACAAAGAAAAAAAAATTCTTTAGAAGAATTATTTCTTTTATTTTTGATTTATTTCTTTACCAAATTATTTCGCTTTATTAATTTTATCGTCAAAATCTTAGCAAATTAAAAGAACGGAAATTTAAGCGTAATTATTTAAATTCCACATATTTCACCTTACTTTTTTTTTTCTCTATCAACCATAATAGATAGTATAACTTCTTTTTTTTTTTCGAATGAAAATACAAAACACACATAATCGTTATGTTTTAGTATATGAAATTGAAATTTGAAATGAATACAATTTCAGTTGATATATCTGAAATTATAATTTTAAAAAAAAGAATTAAAACTTGGAAATTATGCAAACATGTATGTATATGTAAATATATATGGATGGATTTATTTCATTTTCATATATAATAATATGAAAAATGTTTTGCATTTCATTTCGAAAATTAATACCTTTTCTTTTCCTTCCTGCCTTTTTCTTTTCCCTCCCTCCCTTTCTCTCTCTTTCTCTCTCTCTTTCTCCATCTCTGTCTCTCCTCTCCCTCATTTATATATTTTACTGTTAAAATAACAGTTTCAAAAATTGGAGGTGTATATAATTGAGAAATGGATTAAAGTTGAAATGATTGATGACATTTTAAAGGGAAAGAGTGACAGAACGATATTTGAATGTACCAATTGAAGAGGTAAATTTTGAATTGCTCAAATTGTTCACTTCGAAATATTCCAATAAAATTTCATGTTAATGCATAAAATTATAGCCGAAAGGAAAGAAAAATGAAAAAAAAATAATTGAAAAAAAAAGAAAAATTGAAAAAAAAAGAGAGGAAAAAATGGAAAAGAAGTAGAAAAGTAGTAGAGAATGGGATGAAATTATATTCAAACTTTGAAAAAGAACAAATGTAAAATATTTATTTATGTAAAAGAGATGAAAATTACGGAAACGGAAAAGAAGGCGGAAATAACGATCAAATTGTTGTTAAACTTACAAAGAGCGGAAAATAAATGGAAAAAGAAAAAAAACCGGTAGAAGGATTTCCGGTATAACATGATGCATTGACAATTTTCTCCTTGTTTTTTTCTTCCCCCAAGTTCCATTTTTTCGTTTAATGCTAATTCAGTTTTCCAACCATATTTAGCCTGAAATAAACTTTTTCTCCATTTATTTACATTTTAAATGCTATTGCAACAATTTAAAAGATAGGCGATATAAGTATTATACCAAGAAGTGTCAAAGTTGGCGTTATTATTTTTGCTATGATTATTAATACTAACATTATTATTACTGTTATTATCATTATTATTATTATTATTATTATTATTATTATTATTATTATTATTATTATTATTATTATTATTATTATTATTATTACCATCGTTACCACTTCTGGTATTATTGCTACTATTCCTGGGTAATGAAATATGAGCTAGAATAATTTTCCAATCATTTTAACGATTATCATTTATGATAACTTAAATTTAATGATTATTTTACATATTAATATTATCTCATTTTGATGTCATTTCTTTTATGAGAAATAATTATTTTCATATTTCAATAAAACGATCGCATTAAGAATGTAATTTAATATTTAATTTATTAAAGAAAGAAGTTTCTAGAAAATATGAGTGAATGATATTTGTTAACTTGAAAAAAGGGAATAAGAAAAATTCCTAAATATGCAAAAACAATTGTTGCTAATTCTACTTTTTGAAATAATTTTCACATTTTTCCCTAACAAATATATGAAACTATTCAAGTTTTAATATTTCGAAATATTACTACAATATTTGAAATATTTAAATGTTTCAAATATTTATATTTTATTGATAAGAAAGCAAAAAAAAAAAACTTTTTCAACTAATTTTTCCATCAAGTTATTACTTTTTTTTTTTAGCTTTCCATTTGTGGCTTTAAAATTCAATTTGCTAAATTGAATTCTCTTCAGGCCAGGGAAAATCCTAATTCACTTTTTCCATTTCCATTTTGATCCATTAGTCTGATTAATTCTATCACAATATATCATGTATGCGTGTATGTGTGTATGCGCGTGTGTGTATATGTGTGTACGTACGTGTGTGTGTGTGTGTGTGTATGTGTCTGTCTGTCTGTCTGTGTACCTATGAATATGTGTGGTGTTGTTTAAATTTATTTTATTCATGTTGAAAAAGGAGTAGTAAAGGACCTTTTTCGTCCTCCGGAATTATTGGATAATCCTGATGAAATACAGAAGAAGTTTAAAAGCAGTCCAACAGCAAAATATTTTCGCAGCAGTAATACGACAATTTCTAGGTTATCACAAGAGTAATAATGGTAAATTAATTGTTAATTAATCATTAATTGCTGATCGTTCATAAAGAATATGATTTGAAAAAAGATTTTACTAAAATCTTCCGAACTTTCCTATCAATTCGACAAACATTTTAAAAAAAAAGAAATATTTTTTGATTTGATTTTATTTTTGCTCAATAATTTATGCTTTTATGACAAATTTCAACATTTAAGTGTATGGAAAAAAAAGATTTTAAAAGTTATTTTATGCTTTTTGAAATATTTGAAATTTTCGAAAATTTAGACAATTTTAAATTTTACGACAAAAATTTTGATTAAAATTTATCCTCTATTTTACTTAAACATTAAATAAAACTTTAGCTACCATCTATCCACCATCAAATGTTCGAGTTCAAGCAACCTCAAATACATCAGCTGTAGTACAGTGGGATTTGGATAATGGTAGGAATGTAGACGGCTTTGTGATACGGTATATACATGAACCGGTATCCGGACAACGAGATAACGAACGCTGGAAAACAATTACGATTATGAATCCATCTGCTAGACATTTGCATATCTCACAGCTTACAGCACATAAACCATATGCTTTTTGTGTTTTGGCTATTCGGCAAAATGTTAGTTACAACAGAATTTTTTTATCCATTGGAATTTCCGGATCCGGAAATCATATCGCAAAGATATTCAGAAACTAACTTTTCAAGTTTAATTGACATCATTGATTAATTAAAAGATCTTACTTACTTTTCAATATATCCTTAAAAAGTAAAAGAAAAAAAAACCGTTTGCAACTTTTTTTTTTTAACTTTTCAAAATTTTGAATAATTTACAGAGACAAGGAACCTGTTCGGATCCACCAACAACGATCGATCGTTTGCAAGCAACACATATGGTATCAAATTTATTAATAGCCTGGAAAACGAGTAATTCGGTGATGCTTCGTTGGGAATATACCGGTCCACAACCTGTTGGTTTTTATGTCAATCAAACAGGTCGAAAAGATTATTTGGATCAAAATTTGCAATTAAAAGGAATGATTTCACCGGGATTTCGTCAAGATCTTGATGGTCATCAACGAGAATATTTGTAAGTAATCAATTCCAATTAGAACAATTAAAATTTTTAGTGTTGAAAAAATTGTATTAAAATTAAACAAGCTAATATTAAATTTTAACTAGAATTCGAATTGAATTAAGTCAAAGTTGAAATAATGCAAATTAAACCATCAAAGTAGTTAGAAAAACATTAAGAGTTCGAAATTTAAAAGTAATGAAAATAGTGAAAATTAATTTTAATATGAATAGAATTTGGAATTAAATTTTGAAATAAGATAAAGGAATGCTGTGGAAAAAAAAATGCAAAGAATGCAATTCATTTAGAAAAAAAAACTATAACATATAGTTGTTTGAATGATTTTTAAAATCTTTATTCCATGGAAGAATGAAAAAAAAAAATCAATGAAATTTTAAATGCAAAATTTGAATGGACAAAAAGCAAAAATTAAAAGCGAAAAAAACGACATTTATATTTCATTTCTTTTCCCGTTTTTCAAAAGAGTTTATAAATTTAATTCTTATTAGAAGTATTATCTTAAAAGGACAATTCATTGAACAATCGTTTTCATTACTTACAAAAGGATAACATTTATTGATTAAATCTTTTCCGAAAAAAAAAAAAATTAGTTTTCCTAAAATGAGCTAATTCTATTGAGCTGTGTCTTTTTGTAAGTAATGAAAATGATAGTTTAATTAGTAATTAACATTTTAATTAAGTTTAATAAAATCATTCTTAATTTATTTTAATTTTAAACATTCAAAAAAAAAACAAAAGAGAATAGATTGAAATGTGTGTGTGTGTTTTTTTGTTATAACGTAAAGTACGTAAACATTTATACCTTTATGACATCCAATGGTTTAAAAAAAAAAGGAAAAATTGGACTCATATTATGGTAACATTCAGCTTATTTCAACCCTTTCCCTTTTTTTGATCGATAATTTTGCAAAATTTATTAATTTAAAATTTAAAAAATTTTCAGATGGACAACATTACGACCCTATATGGAATATACATTTCATGTTGGCGTACGTGAATTGCCACCCGGTGGTAGGGAATATTGGCCACGAGAAGTAATTGTTCGAACAGATCCCACGGGACCACCATTTGTTGATGTACCCGAATTTATTACTTCAAATTCAGCAAACACCGCTCTTATTCGATTGAAATGTGCTAGTGAAGAATATGGACCAATCAGTCATTATTGGCTTATTGTTTTACCGGGAAATTTTACTCAAGTAATCAATATTCCATTCCTTTTTCTTCTATTGATTTATTGTTTTACTGGGAAATTTTATTCAAATAATCAATATTCCATTTCTTTTTTCCTTTTATTTTTTATTCCACTTTTTTTTTTTTTTAGAATAAAACTTTTTTATCTTAAAAAAGGAATTTGTTTATATTTAATAATTTTTATTTTTATTGATTTACCCACAAATAATTCATTAGGGAATTGTATTTCGTTTAACAATTTTTGGCATATTTTGTTTGATTTTATAGCAAGTTTAGTATAAATATTTATGTTTTTTATTTTCTTATTTTAGTAATTCTCACGTTTTTACGTTTTATTCATTTTAATCTTTCAAAATTAAAAATAAAAAAAAAGTATCAAATGGATTGATAACGTAAGGTACAATTAAATTCCTTTTTTTATCATATTAATTTGTTTTGTTTTATATTTTTCTTTTTTTTTCACTTATGCAAATTTTATTTCACTGATTTTATTATGTTATCTGTTTTAATATTATTAGGATAATTGAAATATCAAAATGGGAATATAAATTTATGTTTACTTTATCATTATTATATGGCACGATTATTATTCACTTTAATATCATCTGTTTATTAATTCCTCATCATTATAATTAATATAATTATTCAATTTTATATCATTCAATTATCATTAATAAGCTACCCTTAACATCTACTTTCATTATCATTTAAAAATTTCAAACTTTCGTTTCTTTAAAAATGGTTAAATTAATAAAATGTGTAAAATAAGATTTATGAATTATGGAATGTATTTCGTAAAAATGAATCCTTTAAATCTTAAAAAACTAATAAATAAAGAATCTAATTTTTTTCTTAACATTTTCAGGATGATGTATTAAATTTGGATTCAACATCACTCCAAAGAAGTACGACAATGATGCGACCAAATCAAAACAAAAATTATTACGGGAAAACTTCTAAGAAAGTTCGCAAAGTAAACAGAGAACAAGACTACAAAGGGTTTATTTTTAATTTTTGATTTCAAATAACTTTTTTTTTTGAAAAAAAAATAAAAAAAACAATTCAACATGAAAAAAAAAAGTGAAAAATATTGCGAGAGATATTTTATTTATTATAATAATCAAACATGAATTACTTTTTTAGCCAATTTTTTTTTCTTTTTGAATTTTCAAATTGAATTTTAAAACGGAATAATTGAGATTTATCAGAAGACTCAAATTATCCGAACATTTCCAATTACTTATACGGCGACCCAATTTCTTTTTTACTCATAATTTTTTTCTTTTTTTTTTATGGCGCAATAATAATTTGTTGATAATCTGTAGGCGCTATTTGCATGAACCTTTTACTCTTCGAGGTGCATATATAGCAGCAGGTATACCGGTACATGAAATGCAACAAATACAACGAAGTGATCAATTATTTGCACTTGGTGATGGACGGGTAAATTTCTTTCATTTTTATTAAATAAACTTAAAATTAATTATACTTTGATTTTTTTTTCCTTTTCAAAAGGAATATATCATTAAGTGTATCACTGAGAAAATAATAAAACTTAAATTCTTTTCTCGTTTTTAATTAAAATTTTATTTTTTTCCCATATCAATTACAACTATATAGAATTAGTATTTAAAAAACTTTTTTGAAAAAAAGGCGAAAAGGAAATTATTTTTTTCGTTTTTAACAAAAAAAAAAACAAAAGAAATCAGTTATTATTAATTTTTTGAAATCATTTTATAGATGTATGATGGTTATGACAATTGGCCCTTAAATAGTAACACTAAGTATCGTTTAATGATGCGAGCATTTGCCCGTGATGATATATCCAGAAATTCGGATTATCCGGTAAATTTGTTTATAACAGAAAATTTAATAAAAGTTCTCAAGAAAAAAAAGTTTTTTTTTTAACGAAAGTTTCTAAATATTTTAACAGACTGTACTTCTTGATGGCATTGTTTCCTTATTCTTTTATTTCATTCATATTAATTATTAGTTGGAAAAAAATTAATTTATTCATTAATAACTTTTACTTGTAATTTTTTCTGTTTTGAAAAAATTTCAAATTTTTAGTTTGAATTTCGTGCTCCAATTCAAGAACCATTAGCGAAACGTTATTCGGATTCAATGCTTAGTGAACCATTTTCCACCAAAGCTGCTGCACATATTCGTGATGCTAAAACATCTAATTTATGGCTAATTGCGCCAATTATTGCAATTTTAATTATTGCAATTATCCTTGGAATGCTTATCATTTGGTATGTTTTTTAAAACAAAAAGTAATAATTTAAAATTTTTGAAAAAAGTTTCTTCCCAAAATTGCAATTCATTTTTGAAATGACATTTTTTGGATTTAAATTTTTAATTTTTAATACAACTTTTCTTCAATTTTTTAAATTTTTTTCAATATAATTAAATATATTGCATATTTTTCATTAAATAATATGTAATATATTTAATTAATAACAAAATTTCCGTGAGATTTTCAAATTGAAATTTCATTAGCACATGGTTTCTTCTTTTTTTTTGAATTCTTGCCACAGTTTTTAAGCGATAAAATTGGAAATTTAATGATGTGCTCTATCTGTGGACTTTATGCTTATGTTTGCAAAAGTTTCGAAAATGTTAAATTGAACCAAATTTATGCATATTAAATTAGTCTGATGTCAAGTTTGCAATTACCGTAGTACTTTTTTCAAAAATTTTACAATCATTTTTGCTATTATGCAATATATTGTTATATAAAATGTGCAAATTTTTCAAAATTTCTTACTGTTTCAAAATTTTTTAAATTTACTAATTTTATTTCAGATAAATGTAAATTACTAAGTAATTTTCGTGCATTTTTTATAAAGAAAAAACAGCAAAGTATGATAAAATATAATTTAATAATTAAATTCTTTTTTAAAATTCCAAATGATGAAGCTATTCCAATCTTTTTTTTTCTTCTTCTTTATAGGTGGCTTCGTTGTAATCGTCGAAATAATCGACATAAAACTTCTCACCATGGTTCCATTTCAAAGATTGCCTTAACTAGTAATACAATTCCAAGCGAAACATCAAAATTGCTTGTTTCCGGTGATGTTTATGGTCGTCATATAGTTAATCCTTATGATCAGGTATGTTATACCGGACTTAATCCAATTTTTTTCCTGATTCATTTTTACGAATGAAATCAATTTGATTTTCCTCCCATCTCTTCGAGAAAATAATTGCTGACAAAAATTGGAGTGATTTCAAAACGCTTTTGTTTTTTCTTTTGATTTTTTTTTCAAAAATTTGAAATTTAAATTTTTCAGATGAATGGAAATGGTGGTTGTACGATGGATACTGCAATGGATATGTATCCATTACATCAAAGTCATATGAGTAGCGGAACATACAATCCTTTACCTGTACCAATGTCAATACTACCTTCAAGTGGTGGCGCTGTTGGTGGTCATTCTCTTACTCATCTACCAATTCCTATCTCTGAACTTGCTGCGCATATTGATAAGTTGAAAATGAATAATAATGCCTTATTCTCACAGGTTATTGAAATAATTTGTGATTCATTATGTTATTCATCAATTTTTCCTTTTTTCTTTAAATTATAAATTTTGCAAATTTCGAACATTTTTTAATTTTGTAATTTTGTATTGAATTATTAATTTGATTCGCTTAAAATTACATATATTGTATAACACTTTTAAAAATTTTTAAAAATCATTTTTAAACAAATTTAATGCAATTTTTATCTTTCCTTTTTTTTCGAAAGATAAATTTACATTTCTGTTTTTGTTCCCTTTTCTTTTCTTATAATATTATTTATTGTTCGTTTTATTTTTGAGAAAAAAGATCGTGACATTTAATTAACTAATTAAATAATAATTAGTAATAGCATAAAAAATTTTACATTAAAATTATCACTACAATTATTATAGGAATATGAAAGTATTGAAACTGGTCAACATTTTACTTGGGAAAATTCGAGTCTACCAATAAATAAAATGAAAAATCGATATGCAAATGTGGTTGCATATGATCATTCACGTGTTATCCTTAGTATCATTGATGATATTGAGGGTAGTGATTACATTAATGCGAATTATATTGATGGTTATGAAAAGGTATACTATTTACTATTTACTTACTTTTTTATTTACTTACTTTTTTCATATTTACTAATTAGCGCATTAATTGTTTAATTGTTGCTTATTTTCTTTTATTTATTTTAAAGTAATTTTGATTTCTTTCATTTTATTTTTTATTTTATCTCTTTTATTTTATCTTTTATTTTTTTCTTTTATTTTATTTTTTCTCTTTTATTTTATTTTTTTCTTGGTATATTTAAAGTAAGTAATATTTTGATTTCTTTTACTTTAAAAAAATTTTTGAAACTTTTACTGATTTCAATTCAAAATTACATTTCAAACATTTATATGCACTTATTTATTTATTACAAATATTTTCATGTTTAGCCAAAAGCATACATTGCAACACAAGGACCATTACCGGAAACATTTGCGGATTTTTGGCGAATGGTTTGGGAAGAAAATACGGTAACAATAGTAATGTTGACAAAATTAGAGGAACGATCACGATTAAAATGTAACCAATATTGGCCTGCTAGAGGATCATCTTATTATGGTCATATTCAGGTAATGATAATTTAATATTAACTTTTTGTAAATTTTAAAATTAAGTTATATTTATATTGTACTTTGGTAAGGTAATTCAAATATTTTATATTGTGAACATTTATTGATGTGATTTGTGATGTGAATTAGATTTTGCTTAAATTGATAATTTGCTTAAAGAATGGCATCGATATGTTCTGGTATAGGATGTAATTCAATGTTCTATGCTTTTAAATACTAATATTAATTTTTTTTTTTTGAGATGTATTAATGGATTGGATTAAAAAACGAAATTTTTGATTGATTTAGGAAGGTTATGAAATATTTTAGGTGACATTATTGGATACGCTAGAGCTGGCACACTATACAATTCGGACATTTCGCTTACAATATCGAAGTGGTGGTAAAGTACGGGAAATACGACATTTACAGTATACTGCATGGCCGGATCATGGTGTTCCTGATCATCCCACACCTTTCTTGATGTTTTTGAAGAGAGTGAAAACATTAAATCGTCCGGATGCTGGTCCAATCATATCACATTGCAGGTTAGAAGCTATCCTTTTTGATAAATGATAAGTGGAGAAAGTTTGAATAATTCATTTCCTAAAAAAGAAAAAAATTTTAAAATGAAATTCTCATTTTTTTCTATCAATTTTTCGAATTTTATCAAAATCTAATCAAATCCATTCATTATTTTTAACATTCCTAAATTATTGAAAATATCTGAGTGTGTATGTACGTGCAACTTTTGCAGTGCTGGAATTGGCCGAACAGGTGCCTTTATCGTAATTGATTGTATGTTGGAGCGATTACGATATGAAAATACTGTGGATATTTATGGTTGTGTTACAGCATTACGATCACAACGATCTTATATGGTTCAGGTAAATCTTAAATTTCAAAAAAATATTACGAAAAAAATTTCGCAAAGGGAAATATAATTCGATGAATGTTTGTAATTGAATTTAAACTGTAATATATGTATTAAAAACTCATTGTTTCCATTATATATATATATACATATTTCATATTCTATTTCTTAAATATATATTTTTGAATTATGGAAAATTTTTAGACCGATGACCAATACATTTTTATCCATGATGCAGTACTGGATGCGGTACAATCCGGTTCAACAGAAGTGCCTGCTAGCAAATTATACACCCATGTACAAGCTTTATTACAAATTCAACCGATTGATCAGGTTTCAGCTATGGAACTTGAATTTAGGGTATATTTTCTCATTTACATTGGTTTTTCCTCGATACATTAGGCTTAATTTTAACTTCTATTATGTTATCATCTTATCATTATTAATGATCATAGTAATTATCTCTAAAATACTTTTTCGAAATTTAAAATTTATTATAATTCTTTTTTTAAAAAAAAAGGAAAATCCAAAAAAACAATACTTTGCTGAATTGCTTTTTAACATTCTCAATTGTTAATTTTTAACAAATAAATGTAATTTTCATTGATTTTTTTATTAAATTTGAAATTTAAAAATAGAAATTTTAGCATTTATTTACTTTCACTTTTGTTTTGTTAAACATTGTAACAATATCCAATGATTAGTTTTTCTAATATTAAAATAATTTATGCATTAATTTCAAAACTTAATAATGAAAATTCCTACATCATTTTGTAGCATTTGGCAACAATGAAAATGTCAAATTCCCGATGTAGTATTGCAAATTTATCAATTAATCGACCAAAAAATCGTTTAATTAATATGGTACCGTATGATTCATCACGTGTTATTCTACGTTCAATTCCGGGTGAAGAAGGCTCTGATTATATCAATGCTTCTTGGATTGATGGTTATAGGTTTGTTTCTTTTGTAATTACTTTTTTTTCCTAACTATTTAATCATTATGACATTTCAAATGTTTTAATTATTATAATTATTCAAATATTTTTTAATTATTTCAGTATTATGACATTTTTGTTATATTTCCTTAATGATTAATTATTATGATTATCAGATATTTTGTTTTTTTTTGCAACTCTCACAATTATTGATTATTGTAATTTTCTAATTTTTTTTAAAATATATTTTTAATTACTAATTATTATAATATTTAAATTTTTTTATTAATACTTTCAGGCAGCGTAGCGCTTATATTGCAACACAAGGTCCAATGCCTTATACAGTAAATGATTTTTGGCGAATGATTTGGGAGCATGAATCATCAATTATTGTAATGCTTGTTCGTACAATGGAAACATGTCGAGTTAGTTCATACATTTACTCTTTTTTTTCAATTTAATTTATGAATATAAAATTTGAAAATAAAAATTAATATAAAATTTCTAATATAAAAATTTTTTCACTTTTTTTCAGAATAACTATTATCTTGTTTCTTCTTTTTTTCTCTTTCTCCCTCTCTCTCTCTTTCTCTTTCTCTTCTTTGCTCTTCATTTATTGTATATTTATGAAAATTACAAATTAAAAGATTATTAATTTATTATGAAGACATTTACCGTAATGCAGTATCATGATAGTAATAATAATTAATGATAATGATAAATTGATAATTTCTTTTAATTAATAATTAATGATAATGATAAATTGATAATTTCTTTTTTTTTGCTTATTGCAGGAAAAATGTTATGAGTATTGGCCAGCTGAATTGGGTGCACAATTTGGATATTTGGTAGTGGAACCGATTGCTGAATATAATATGTCACAGTATGTATTGCGTGAATTTCGTATCACCGATACAGAGGTATGACTACTTTTTTTTTTTTGTTTAAATTATTAAAATGTCACTCTTCAAATTATCATATATTCAAATTTTGCTATTTCATTACTTAAATAATTTTAATCTAATTTTGAATTATTCCTAATGCTAGAATTATATATACTACGAGCTGTTGCATTAACATTTCCATTAATTTGATTTTTTTTCGTCGATATTAATTACTCGGTAGCTTAATTAATTATTTAGCAATTTATTTTATAATTAGAAAGACGAAATTTTTAGTCTGGCCAAACAAAAACATTGAGACATTTCCAATACGTTGAATGGCCTGACCATTGTCCACCAAAATCTGCTGAGCTATTCATCGATTTCATTCATCAAGTATGTTCTTCTTTTTTTCTTACTTTGCAAATCTTATTTATGAAAGTTTCTTAGCAATCAATTTGTCGTGTTATTTGTCATGCAAATATTTCTTTGTTCATTTAATTATTTGTCCAATAAATATAATTATTGTTATTGAAAGAATACTAATGAAAAGTTTTAGGTACATCGGACAAAAACACAATTTGGTGTGGATGGTCCAATTACGGTGCATTGCTCAACAGGTGCGGGACGTACCGGAGTTTTCATTGCACTTAGTATAATTATTGATCGAATGAAGTTAGAACATGTAGTTGACGTGTTTACAACGGTGAAATTACTCCGAACCGAACGTCAAAATATGGTTCAGGATAAAGATCAATATCATTTTTGTTATCAGGCTGCTCTTGAATTCCTAGCCACTTATGATAATCCATATCAAATGTCTTAAAAATGAAATGATAACTTCCTTTGTTTATTCTTACTTCAGATTACTTCCTTTAAATGAAATTATTAATTATTTGTTGTTTTTGAATGAAGTCATGCTAATATCTCTTATACCTTTATTCATTTCCATTAATTCATTTCGTATTTTTTTTTTATTTCTCAAATCTAATACGGGTATTCATTCGTTTTTTTGTGCTATTTTAAGAAGAAATAACTTAAAAAGTAGCCTTTGATGTATATTATCAATGTTGCAAATATTGTTGTTATCATTGTTATCTTCCATTAATCTTTGATCTTTAACTGAAGATGGTACCAATTAAAAAAAAATTATTTATCATTCAAAAATTTAACATTTACAAGATGTAAGCATTGCTATAATAACAATAAATTTCAAAATGAATTTTTCTCTAAATTTATAAATTAAATATTACTGTTTGCTCAACAATTGCATGTGCAGTACTGTAATGGTAATTAATTTTTTTTCCTTTTTACTCCATGACAATTTATTTTAATTTTATTTGTAATTATGCAAACTTTTCATTTTTTCTTTCTCTGTAAATTACGTTTAAAATTTTTTTTCATTCTTTTGAATTTTAAAAGGTTTTAAAGTTTTGTATGTATTTTTATGGAATAAAATTTGCATGAAAAATATAAAATCATTTAAAATTTAAATACTATTATTAATTACGATTAATTGGTTGCAATGAATTCCATTCATTTTTGTTGCTAATAATTCCTTCCACTTTCTCTTTCATTCACTCTTTCTTATTTACTGTCTTTATACTGCACTGCCACTTTATTTCTTTTAATTGTTTGTATTATCTATGGTTAAAGGTGTGTCATTTTTATGACTCATCAGAGATACTTTGGGTGATAATATCGGAAAACCGGTTCCATTATTCCGTTTTTGTTTAAAATAATTCAAAAAGTTGGAATTATACTATTCGAAATTATTTATTTCTTGGATAAGATATATTTAATAATCCAATCCACCATACTAAAGCCTATTATCGATGACAAATAAGCTAATAGATTTGATTAAAAGTTCTTACCTGACTATTGCAAAACAAATCCTCACCGTTCCAATTCGTAATTAATCTGTTCGTAATTAATTGGTTTTTATATTTGAAGGACTTGAAATCAAAAATATATAAAATTACATACTTCACTGTCTGAAATAGCTTTGTTGCATTTGTAAATAAAATATTCATATCATTTAAGCTTTTTTTTTTCTTGCTTTAAACCATCAAAATTAAATGCTTAACTTGGGAATGTTTAAAACTGGAAAAGATATGTTTGAAATTACATATCCCAGTATATATGTTAAAATTAAGTATCATGCATTGTTACTAAAATTACTATTTGTCCTGTAAAATTAAATGTTTTTATTTCATTTAAAGAAGTTTTATTAATAATTAAAATTTATTTAAATATATATTGCATGCCTCTTGTAATGAATAAATAAAATGATTGAATAAATTGATAAATTTAAGGAGAAAAATCACGAGGAGATGAAAAGATAAAAAAGTTTTATACCTGAATTCCAGATTAAATTAATAAATTACGTCAACAAACAAGGGGACGTTTTAATATATTACATTTATTTCCCGAAATTTAAATGTTATAGTGATCGATGCAATTAACTTAGTTTAATTATCCACAAAATTTAAATTATTTATAAGATAAACGGAAATTTACGCTAAAATAAATAAAAATTTACATTGGAATTTACATTGAATAACAAATTTCCATTAATACTTAAATAAAATGCAAAAAGAACGAGTTAAGATAACTTTCTCGTCGAGAAAATTTACATTATTTAAATGGGAACAAATATGCTAAAATTGTTAATAAATGACTCTTTGATAGAAATATTTTGTAAATTGGAAAATGTTCATTTAAAAAAAATTACCATTTTTGTGATTTACTGAAATATAAAAATTTGCATTTTAATGATTCCATCATATGCGCTGTATCGAACTTAATTTGCATATTTGAAAATCTTCTATAAATAGACTTATAAAGCATTATTATAACATTTTATACTCATTCATTCATCCTAACCGTATCCATCTATCCCTTTATCATCACACCTTCATCCATTTCCTCAATCATCTTCTTTCCCTCTGTATCAACTTCATTAAAGTTTCATCCCCTTCCCTATCTTAATCTTACCCAAGTTTTACCCCTTCATCTTCCTTGACGTTACCCAAGCCTTATCCCTTCCATTGTTTCAACTTTACCCATTCCTTTATTTTAACTTTGGAGGGAACCATAACAAGGTTCCAACATATCGCATCATCCAAGCGAGTAGTTTCCGTAAAAGAGGGTCAAGCGGGAAGAATCAGTGATGCCATGCCATGGTTTACGCTCACGATTCCGGTCACGGAGCCGTGGAAGTCGATCGCGTAGTATCGCAAAAAGGCGTTATACGCGATACATTTCAAGGTCACCCACGCGAACACGTCGACGTAGCCGCCGTTATCGTACACCGTCAACCACGCTGTATAGAATGTATTGGATGGCAGATAGCAGAAGACGATTAAGACCTCGTAGATCAAGCCGACGTAGATTAACCCCAAGTAGATCACGTCGTTCTTCTCGCTCACGTAGTCGCCGTTCATACTCACGACGCTCACGCTCTCCTTACTGGTATCGTCGTACCCGCCAATCGAGTCCTCGTCGTCGTCGACGTCTTCGTCGTTCTATGTCTGTTCGACAACGACGACGTCGTCAAATACCTTCGATCGAATGGCTTGTACGTAGACGACGACGTTAAATTAAATGAACAAAAACCCTCAAGTAAGATTATGGTAAAACTAAATTAAAATTTGTCTGAAATTTGAAATCCTTTGATGTTTCCGATTTTCCATTCACATTTTCTAAATATTTTTCTGCATTTATCATCGATATCTGTGATATGAAATGTAATCCTAATTAACCAAACTGTTAATTAATTGCCTTAAAAATTGGAATAAGCTTTCAGGATGGTATGATGTGGAAACAAAAAAATATCAAACACTATTTGGAAGAAAAACGAAAAAATTGATGAAAAATAAATTTATAAATGACATTTTACTGAATGTAATTTATGAATAATGAATTAAAAAGAGACTAAATAAATAATAAAATATATAATTAAATGGAATTAATAATTAAAAATGTTTCGAATAAAGATTTTACCATTGTTGTTGAGGAGATAAAATTAAATATTCCCAACAACCTTACTTCATCATTATTACTGGTAGAAACTTTGACAAAGAGTTGGCTATGGTAAATTTGATACCGTATCATACATTAAATCGAGTATCACTAGGCCTATTTATTGTTAAACCTTAGGTTTGCTTATTGTTAGGCATTGATATTGCATCAAATATTAAATTCAGTGCTACTAGGCTTGTTTGTTGTCAGGCCTCGATAATATGCTTCCCATCGAATTAAGTACTTCTGGATTTATTTATTTTTTGTTTACCTAAGCTCATTTCTATTCCTCCGATTAATTGATTCATGATCGTCTTGATCCTGCAAATTAAAGAAATAGAAAATGAGAAATTAATGACGTAAATGACGTAAAGTTTTAAAATTTCCTTCATAATTTTATCAACAATATTAATGAATTGGTGACAGTTGTTTGTTGTAAACAATCATTAAGTAAACATATTACTAAAACTTACTCGAACTAACTTATCTTAAACTCAAACTCAGTTCAAGGTAAGTTTAGTTTAAGGTAAGGCACAGTTTGCTAATATTTTGTGACAGAACATCATTTAGTTACCAAATTTTTTCATTCATTTTTACTATGAATCATTTTTTTTTTTTTGCTATCATTATGGATTCAAATAGTTGGATTTATTAAAATGATAATGTAAAGAAAGGTTACGAATAATGGATTCTGTGAATAATAGATTCCAATGCAGTTTGAAGTAAATATTCTATGAAGGAATCTGTAAGTGATTGATTCTAAAGAATATATGATTCTATGAGTAAAGAATCTATGTGTAATTGTATTACTTTATTGTGACAAAAATCAAAGTTGTCATTGGTTGAATGTAAAAGCATTCGCTAAATAGTTAATCAAATTCAACAAGCTTTTTTTTGTTCCTTTCATGTTATCAAGATTTCAAATTTTATGACAAATAATTTTGGAAATGAAATATTAACGCTAACAATTAATAATTAATAGTAATAATAATAATAATAATAATAATAATAATAATAATAATAATAATAATAATAATAATAATAATAATAATAATAATAATAATAATAATAATAATAATAATAATAATAATAATATAATAATAATAATAATAATAATAATAATAATAATAATAATAATAATAATAATAATAAT